TGGGGGAGGCTAGTATTTCAGGCCGAAGGACACCTCACTCCCTCTCCCAGCTAGAGGTTAGATAGATGGAAGGCTGAATAGTGTCCCCCCAACGGTGTCCATGTCCTAATCCCCAGACCTGTGACTATGTTCTCTTACAGGGTAAAGGGACTTTGCAAATGTGATTAAGTTAAGAACCTTGAGATGGGGATCATCTGGAGCCCAATATAATCCCAAGCATCCTCACAGGAAGGGGGAGGGTCAGACTCAGGAGCAGATATGACGATGGGAGCAGGAGTTTGGTGTGATTTAAGGAAGGGGCCATAAGCAAAGGGATGCAGGTGGTCTTTCGATTCTGAAAAAGACAACGACATAAATTCTCCCCTCAGAGTCCCCAGAAGGAGGATCCTTCTGGAACTAGCTCTGCTGACACCTTGACTTTAGTCCAGTGAGACTAATTTGGGCAAGCCCTTGGGTTAAGGGCTAATTTCAGCAGCCCAAGGTTCATTAGTTCAGATCCTGGGCATGGACATGGCACCACTCATCAAGCCATGCTGAGGTGGTGTCCCACATAGCAGAACTAGAAGGATCTACAACTAGAATATATAACTATGTACTGGGGGGCTTTGGGAAGAAGAAGAAGGGGGGAAAAAAAGATTGGCAACAGATGTTAGCTCAGAGCCAATCTTAAAAAAAAAAAAAGAGCTATGCCGGGCTCAGGGTTGGGCACCTGGGGCTCAGGGGACTCTGCAGGCCGGCTCCCATGCCCAGCCCAGAAGGAGTTGGGGATTAGAAGCCTAAACAGGTGGGACCCTACCTGGCATCTGGCCCTGGGGAATAAGGGAAGCTCCCGCAACTTCCTTTCTCCTTGATGGCCCTCAGTTACCATGCAGGATCTCTGAGCTCTGAGACTTCAGAAAGGGGACGCAGGGCAATGGCCAGCCCTCCTCAAACCCTGAGCTCTGTTTGTGACCTGCACAGCTCCCAGTGCACCACCTCGTTGTCCCACCCTACCCCCTCCCCACTGGCCACTCAGTTCCAGGGGGGGTGAGTTGAATGGAATGCGTTGTCAGTCCCTGCCTCCTACCCCAACCCAGCCCACTCCGGGGAACAGGGATGCGGCACTGGGCTCACTTCATCTTCCAGTGACACTGTATCTCTGGTCCCCAGAGTGGGCTAGGCAGGGGCAGGAGGTCTTGAGGAGCCCAGCCAAGAGTCAGGCTGGCGGGAGGTGCTTGGATTCAGGCCCCTGCTGTCCCTTCTACTCAGAAAAGCTCCACCTGGTAAGCTTCCAGGCACTGGCTTCACCCAGACAAACCTGCCCTGTGTCATCCTCTTCCCTTAGGACTCAGCCAGATGCTAACATGAGTTAACCTCTTCTTTGCAGCTGGAGAGTGCCTCCCTAGGGCAAGGTCCCATCTTCTTCTTAAACCTTCAGGGTTGGGAGAACCACCTGTGCCCCCACCCAGAGTTATTGGTGATTGGTGCCTTCACACCATCTCAGCGGGGGTTCTTAACCTTGGCCACTCATTAGAATCACCTGTGGGGAGGGAGTAGGGGGAGTTTAAGTAAAAACACTGGCCTGAGTCCTACCTCCAGAGAGTCTGATGTGATCTGTCTGGAAGCTGCCAGGCATGGAGATTTTTAAAGACTCTCCAGGGGAATCTAAAGTGCAGCTTAGAATCACTGATTCTGAACTTGTAGATTTTGAACTGTGTTTTCAAGATAATAGGGCTTTCAAAGTAATCCTAGGCACGGGGACCTGAGTCCAGGCAGCTCTGTGCTGCATCAAGGTAGGTGTCATCAAGCAGGTGAGACATGACGCTGGAGACAGGGTGGGTCACCTAAGCAACCTGTGACCCTTGGCCTCCGTGTTTGAACGGTGCCACCTGTAGGTCCAGAAAGCAGTGAGGGGATGCAGGTGGGGATGAGGAAGGAGGGAAAGAGAGAAGAGAAGGGAGGGGGATAAGCTGTCCCCCTCAGTGCTGTGACTTTTAACACGCTCTGACTTAACCAAGAGGGAATGTTGCATGGAAACAGCAGAAGATATTTGCAGCCAAGAAGAGCCATTCCCTTTGGTTGAAGCCAAATTCAGAGGCAGTTGGGGGTGAGTGGGTGGGAGGGGAGAGGAACAGAAGGAGGGATGCTCAGGGAAGCCAGGGCAGGGAACTCAGAAGCCAATGTCACAGCAGTCAATGGGGTTGGGAGGAGGGATCCTGCAGGAAAGACCCCTCAAGGACTTAGGATAAACGTCCAAGTCCCTTCCATCTGCAGCTGTGCGCTCTATCGCTTTTCTAAGCCCCTTTGAAAATGTCATTTGATGCACACAACAGCGCCAGCGGCTAGGTGTTAATATCCCAATCTCAGAGCTCACGCTCAAAGTCAACCTGGTCTGTCCACTCTCTCCATCTTGAAAAGGACAGAAGGAAGCCCTGATCTTCAAATATCGTCCCAGTTTTAGGCTCGTGGCAGGAAAAAGCCATCCAGAATCCCTCTGGTCTGTTTGGGAAAGCCTCTCCCTACCCGTATGAATACCATTAAAAATATTGGAATGTGCCAAAGAGAAGTAAAACATCGCCCTTCTCACCGCCCAGTTCCCACCCCCTCTGCTCACACCTAGGCCAGACTCTCTGTCACACCATCCAGAATCACAGAGCAGGGTGAGGGCTGCATTATAGGCAGTGGCAAGACGGGGAAGGAAGACAGGGCTGAGCTACCCCCAGCTCCAGAAAGACAGACGGAAGTCATGGGAGCCAAAGGCCAAGCTTAGTGAATGGACACAAGACACAAGGGTGTCCAGACGGCCCTGCAGAATGTTATCCAGCAGGTCTATCTCCAGGTGAACTCTGCAGGCCTCCCAAACCCCCTTCCTGCAGGCCAGTCCAGACACCCTCCCCTTCTTCCTCTGAAAGTGTCTTCATTCTCTTCTAGAACACCAGGGAGTTGTCTCCCACCCCAATTATACGCACCCCACACAGCCGGGCCCCTGCAGCTGGGTCTGCACTGAGGGTCTAAGCCCTAACCCAAACTGGACAATTGGATTCTCTCCCCTGGGAATTGACACTGGAACCAAGTCAAATTGGGGTGGTCACATTATTTTAGGGTGTTGACTCAGGAAACAACGTGAGGAGATGCTGAGGTAGCTACATGAGATCCCAGACAAATAAAAAGGCAGTGAAAGCCAGCCTCTGGAGGGAAGCGAAGCAGGCCTGAGAGAGAAGCAGAGGGGACACAAAGGGAGAGAGAGGTGGTTCCAGCCAGGCCCTGGTTCACACCCTTGTCCAGGAGATGCCCCCACATGCTTACAACACAATCTCCTCTTTCCCCTGCCAGTGTGAGGGCTCCCCCAACCTTTCCATCCATGAGCCTTGACTGGGACAGACACGACCACCTCTTGCCTCTCTCTCTAGAAGCACTTCCCTGAGCACCAGGTGCAACCTCAGAGAACGCACCCTCTGTCAGAAGCCCCAGCCATTACATGGGGATCCTGCAGGAGCCCTCGACCCACTTGGAGGATAAAGTTTGGAATATCTGCCCTGCAACTATCTCCTGATCAAGCTGGGACAGGAGCTGCCACATCCCGAGACTCCCGTCTGATCCTCCAAGTGGCGGCTTTCTGCTCTGAAGGAACGCAGTGCAGGGTATTCCTTCCCCAAATGTGAAACCTGAATAAATTCAGTGAGACGACGGCCTTCCCTTCCTTGCCCCCAGCACCCATTTTATAAGGGCTCACGAGACTAGAGAGGTGGGTTTTGTTTTTTTTTTTCCTTTTAAAATATAACAAAGTATAAGCGTTTATATTAGGTTTTTTTTTTTAGTTAAAAAAAAAAGATTCCTTCCAATCATTTGTTAATGACTTTGAAATTTCCCCAATCTTTGTGAGACACCCGCTGTCATGCATAGGGTCTGTCTGTCTCTGTCTGCATGTCGTTCTGGCCTTCTGACAGAGCCCCACCCCACCACCCTCCCAGTCTCAGTAGTACCTTCCTCTCTAGCTGGGCCAGGCTCCCTCTTTCCCCTCCAGCAAATGTTTATTCCTGCCTTTCGCCCAAACAGGGTTCCTGGCCCCCCATCTTCTTCCTTCTCTCCTCTCTGCCCATTTCGGCCTCCTGGTCCCTTGGGTGCCAGCCAAGCTGTCCTCCTGCATTGGCCGTCCTTCTCCACTCAGACCATGCTGCCTCATCCCTGCTCTGACCACCTGTGGCCTTCGTTGTCAGATGTTGCTCCTCTGTGTACCGGGCACAGTGATTTTGCAGCTTCCTGAGACCAGGGCCTGTCTTCCCAGTGGAACTGTCACCCTCGTGAGGGCAGCCACTGAGCTTCAAACACAAGGCCACCAGAAGGAGCTGCTTGGCACAGCCGCCAAAGCTTTCCTCAAGCCAGGAACTCCCACAAACTACCTTTCTGGCCTTCTCTCTCCTCCAACCCTCCCCAAACTTAGTCACATGCCTTATTCATCTTTCTTTTAAGCCCCGACTCCCCAACCCCAGCATAGCACCTGGCACAGAGCAGATACCCAAAATACTTCTGTTGACTTGAAAGTACACTCATCAGGCTGAATCAATATTGTTCTTTTCAGGGAGTTGAGAGAACGAACTACCTGTTGGGATCCTGTCAAGCTCAGCTTGGCCTCAGCTGAATGCCAACCCCCCATGGAAGTCTCCACGAGGCCAGGAGGGATGACAACCCTAGGGTCCTAGTGCGGTTGAGACCCAGCTGCAGAGCCCGAGGCCACACAGAGCACAGCCTGGACTTATCAGAGCCCGTGGAGCTGCTGCAAGAGAAGCCTGGGGGCACAGTCTCTTGAAATACACCCTTTGACAATAAGCAGGGTGGATATATAATTTATTATTCAAACTAGGACACTTCTGAGAGTGAATTGGAAATTATGCTGGGACTATTGCAGATGAGAGGGCTAGATGGTGACCCTGGCAATTGATTATGTTCTGTGGTCAAACCCTCCTAAAGAATAGACAAAACAGAGTTGTCTAAACACAAGAACTTGCTAAAACTCAAAGCAGCATAGGACCAAGATGGCTTTATTTTAAAAGCCAATTGTGTTGTTGAAGAAAAGGCTATGTTCTCGGCCCATTTTGGCTATGGTCCCGGGCTGCTTGGGGAATTGTGCTGAAGCTGTGTACGCTCCTGGGCCCGGGGTTTTCTGAAAACAGAACAGAAAACAGAGACTGATGAGATAGTGACACCAAACCCTGGAGCCTCCTGAGCCTGGATGTTGGCTCAGACGTGGCTGGCAAATCCCACGGAGGGAGACAAGGGCCTGGGTTGAAGCTGGTGCACCCTAGAATCGGAGCATGTCCTTGGAGCTGAGGCTGCTCCTGTCAGAGGCTCTCCCCACGGCTGCGGGCTCACATCCCACATCCGCTCAAAGCACTGTCACTGGGAATGCCACTGTCCTCGCCTCTAATGACCTCAGTCTAGTGGTAAGAGGTTGGAGAGAATGGACTCTGACCTGGGTGGTGGACCTCAGAAGCCCAAACCCATGTGCTTCTAACATTGACCCAGTGTAATATAGTAAGCTGTTTCTCTACAAGGGTCTGTGGACCCCAGGATCAAAAGTATGCTCACGGGATCTACAAGTTCTAGTTTTTAAAAGTCAGATTTTCATTTTGATGAAATTTTTTTAAAAAATTCTTGTGCCAATTATTTAAACAAAGCTTCTCTTCTGTAGTGATAAAATGCAAATGTGTCACTTTCATAGACTAAGACTTCGATGTCTTAGGTCATTGTTTCCCACGCTGGGCTGTGTGCACATATTCTTGAAACCCACAAGAATTTTATCTGGAGTCTGTTGGGGAGACACCAGTGTCTGTGTGTGTGGTTAAGGGAAGGGTTTAAATGTCACACAGGCCACCTGGGTTTGAGTTCTAGTCCCACCACCAGTGGCTCAGTGTGACCCTGGGCCGTGTGCTGCCCAGGCCTCACCCCACAAGTGAGGTTCTGAGGCTCACTGGAGGCCCTCTAGGACAGACAGCACTAGGCCAGGCTGGCAGCCAGCACTCCGCATGGTAGCTACCCACCACTATTATTATTCCCTACTTGTCATTATCACCTACTTGTCATTTTCATCCTTCCTGCAGTTTGTTATCTCTCCAGGAGACAGTGAGAGTGGAAAGAGGATTACCCTGAGGGTGGGACAGAGCAGTCAGCCCAGAGTGGAGGAGATCAGCTGCCTGCAGAAGCCGCTTTAAATGACAGGATGTTTCCCTTGCCAAAAGCAGAGGAGCAGCCTGGAAATCTAATCAAGCCCTGGCCAGCCGTCAAAGGAAGTGGGAGCCTTTATTTGTGCTATTGATGAGGAAGCAATGAGCATGTGGAGTCTTGGAAGACCAGCCCACAGAGCAGGAGGTTCATGGGCCTGGCCCCCCCAAGGTCACCCCCTCAAGAGGCTGCCTCAAGCAGTTGTGATTCCCAGACCTTGAGAACATCCAGTTCCATCCCCAAGGCCCGATTTCACTGTCACCAAGCAAACTTCTGGTTGTCCTTGTCTTCCATGGAGTTTCCTCTAAGAGGAGACACTCCACAGAGCAGTGGCCCCAGACGCCAGCCCCCTTGGTAGACACTTGTAAATTAAGACTATACCTTCTGGTTTCCCTATCAATTTCCTGGGAGTTTGATTAACACAACTCCAACTTCCTGAGGATGCTCAGCCCTGTGAGCTCTCAAAAATCTGTGTCTGGATCTTGGTGATGCCACTAGGGTGTGAGGATCGGCTGAAGGGATCCACTGGCTTCCTGCTGCTGGTCTGTTTTTAATTTTACCGCCAGAGGCCTCCCCAGTATTCCTCCAGATAAAGACCACCCTACCCCCACACTGCAGCTGGCATGTCTGGAGCGAGATCCTGAAGGCGATGGGCGGGCACCCCAGGTGGGGTAGTGGTGGTGCCCTGCAGGCCTGGACAGCAGCAGTGCTGGGCGTCTCCTACCCACTGTCCCAGCCTCTCCCACCCATCCTTCATCTCCTGGGGTGCGCCCACTTCCTTACAGGCAGAATTTCTATTTCTGTCTCCCCAACCATCTCAAACAAGGCTACACACCAGCAAGTTTTGGGGATTTCAGACTGGAGTGGAGGCTGGGGATAATATGACCAAGGGAACTAAAACTGTCTTTTAGCATAAAAAAAAAAAAAAAAAAAAAAAACCAGCTGCGTTCATAGGCTCCCTGTTATACTTTTGTGATCTTTCTTGGTCTTTGCTAGGCCTCTGAGGCTCTTGCATGGTCCCAGAAGCCACCTTCTTTGTATCTCTCCAGGGACTTGAGCCTCTTCCCTGTCTGTCCTGAGTCCTTGGGGGCAGGATGAATGCTCATGCCTTAATGGTCCTCTTTGGTTCAATAATAACGCTTCTGCTCTGGCTCTTTGCTCTCAGAAGCCACACACCCAAGGACGGCAGTTCTGGATGGTGGGGGCGGCCACGGCTCAGCGCTTGCCACGATTCATTAAAGGTGCTTCCCCACAAAGCATCCAGGTCATAACACTGATGGCTAATCACTGTGCTGGCCAACCTCAACTGGATTCATAATTCAGCTACAGTCTTTGGGGCTGGAGTCACTCTGAGGCTGACGCTGGCCAAGGGCTTGCTGGTGTGTGAGCTCTACACTCTTGGCTTCCTTGACAAGAAATTATATATATTTGCAGCCACAAAACCATACATACAACCACAAAACCTACAACCATAACCTGTCTTATAGAATACTTACTGAACAGGCGGGCAAGAATCGAGGTACTCTGGATTGAAAACAAGAAGTAACAGAACTTGCTGAAGGTATTTTCAAATCATAATGACCTGGCCCTGGGCCCTCACGCTATAGAAAATTAAAAAAAAAAAAGAGTGTTTCATAATTACTCACGTTTGAAATATTTTAGTGCTTTATTTGCCTTCCACGAATAAACACATGAATCAGTGTGATACAGTAGAAGAATCCCTGGCTTTGGGCTTGGACAGTCTTATTTAGGTGTGCCCTGGCACAAGTCATTGTGGAACGGGAGCAATACCTGCTTTACCCGCTGCGTGGATGACCGTGAAAACTGGAGATGAAGGGATCTGTCAACGTCTCCCCTTGTCCCCCCCTGGGTCCCCTCCCCACACTGCCATGCCTCACCGCACACTTGTCCCTCTGACTGTTAACAGTGACTTGCTGCTCTGAGCTCTTAGCTTTATAAAACACACTTATTCTAAGAAAACAGGGGCCGGCCGTGTGGTACTGGTTAAGTTCGGCAGCTCTACTTCAGTGGCCCCGGTTCACAGGTTCAGATCCCGGTGTCGACATACACACCACTCATCAGACCATGTTGTGGTGGCATCCCACATACAAAATAGAGGGAGATTGGCACATATGTTAGCTCAGGGACAATCTTCCTCACCAACGAAAAAAAAAAGAGAAAGAAAGGGAGGGAGAGAGAATGAGAAAGAAAGAGAAAAGGAAGGAAACCAAAACGTTAACCATCAGCATGGATGCTCCTATACGATTTTGATGGAAGTATAAATTTGATCAGCCTTTCTGGAGCACAATTTGGCAAGCTATGAAACTCCTTAAAACATATATACCAATCCAAAGGGAAAGAAAGAAGAAAGGAGACTGGTTACAAGATAGTTGCAGGAATCTAGAAGACAAATGAGTGCTATGCCCAGATATGACAGGGAAAATGGAAACAGCTCAAACATCACAGTAGATAATATAGACAAGATGTTAACCTTTGTGTTTTTTTCTAATAATTCACTTTTTTCCTCTCCTATTTTCAAATACCTGTGCTACCTGACAGAAATGAGTCTTTCTGGCATGATGTCTTGGATGTGTTTCTGAATAATGCAGGGACTAGGGGAAGTGGGTGGGGGTGTAGATTGGCCAGGAGCTGACCATTACTGAATGGGTATACGGGGGTTCAATACAGCATTCTGTCTGTGTGGTATATATTTTTAAAGTTTTTACAATATAAAGTTAAAGACAATGTATATTTATTATTTTGACCCAGTGATTTCACTTTCAGGAATTCGTCCTAAGAAAACAATTGAGAATGTGTGCAAATATTTAGCCACAAAGGCATTCACTATAACATTGTTTCTAAAAGTTGAAAATTGGAAATAAAACTAAATGATTAATGATGTGTGCCCGGTTAAATAAACTGTGATTTTTCTATCCAGCCATTCAATGTTGATGAATTTTTATGGACATAAAAGTTATTCCCAAATATTGTGAAGAGAAAAATGCAAGCTTAAAAAAAAGTGCATAACTAACAACGAACTAACAGAAAAAGAACTCAAGAACACAATACCGTTCACAATAGCAACAAAAAGAATAAAATACCTCGGGGTAAATTTAACTAAGGAAGTGAAGGACCTATATAATGAAAATTACAAGGCCTTGCTGAGAGAATTGGATGACGACATAAGGAGATGGAAAGACATTCCATGTACATGGATTGGAAGAATAAACATAGTTAAAAATGTCCGTTCTACCTAAAGCAATCTACAGATTCAACGCTATCCCAATCAGAATCCCAATGACATTCTTTACAGAATTAGAACAAAGAATCCTAAAATTTATATGGGGCAAGAAAAGACCCCGAATTGCTATAGCAATCCTGAGAAAAAAGAACAAAACGGGAGGCATTACAATCCCTGACTTCAAAACTTACTACAAAGCTACAGTAATCAAAACAGCATGGTACTGGTACAAAAACAGGTGCACAGATCAATGGAACAGAATTGAAAGCCCAGAAATAAAACCACACATCTACGGACAGCTTATCTTTGACAAAGGAGCAGAGTGCATACAATGGAGAAAAGAAAGTCTTTTCAACAAATGGTGCTGGGAAAACTGGAAAGCCATATGTAAAAGAATGAAAATTGACCATTCTTTTTCACCATTCACCAAAATAAACTCAAAATGGATCAATGACCTAAAGGTGAGACCTGAAAGAATAAGGCTTCTGGAAGAAAACGTAGGCAGTACACTCTTTGACATCAGTATTAAAAGGACCTTTTCGGACACCATGTCTTCTCAGAGAAGGGAAACAATAGAAAGAATAAACAAATGGGACTTCCTCAGACTAAAGAGCTTCTTCAAGGCAAATGAAAACAGGATTGAAACAAAAAAACAACCCACTAACTGGGAAAAAATATTTGCAAGTCATATATCTGACAAAGGCTTAATATCCATAATATATAAAGAACTCTCACAACTCAACAACAAAAAATCAAACAACCCAATCAAAAAATGGGCTGGAGACATGAACAGACATTTCTCCAAAGAAGATATACGGATGGCCAATAGGCACATGAAAAGATGCTCATCATCGCTGATCATCAGGGAGATGCAAATCAAAACTACACTAAGATATCACCTTACACCCATTAGAATGACAAAAATATCTAAATCTAATAGTAACAAATGTTGGAGAGGTTGTGGAGAGAATGGAACCCTCATACACTGCTGGTGGGAATGCAAACTAGTGCAGCCACTATGGAAAACAGTATGGAGATTCCTCAAAAAATTAAAAATAGAACTACCATACGATCCAGCCATTCCACTACTGGGTATCTATCCAAAGAGCTTAAAGTCAGCAATTCCAAAAGTCCTATGCACCCCAATGTTCATTGCAGCATTATTTACAATAGCCAAGACATGGAAGCAACCTAAGTGCCCACCAACAGATGAATGGATAAAGAAGTTGTGGTATATATATACAATGGAATACTACTCAGCTGCAAAACAGAACAAAATCATCCCATTTGCAACAACATGGATGGACCTTGAGGGAATTATGTTAAGTGAAATAAGCCAGTTAGAGAAGGAAAATCTCTGTATGACTCCACTCATATGAGGAATTTAAAAATGTGGACAAAGAGAACAGTTTAGTGGCTACCAGGGGAAAGGTGGGGTGCGGGGTGGGCACAAAGGGTGAAGTGGTGCACCTACAACACGAGTGACAAACATTAACGTACAACTGAAATCACACAAGATTGTAACTTATCATTAACTCAATAAAAAAAAGTGCATAAAAAAACCGGAATGCATAACACAGGTTTTTTTTGTTTCTTTTTTTACTAAGGGCATTTCCTAATTTTTCTACAATCGACTTGAGTGCTCTTGAAATATGAAAAAATATATATCTAATGTATAGATAAATGAATATGGAAATTGGGTAAAAGAAAAAAGGAGGTAGGGGAAAAAAGATGAAACAAACAGTAAGGTTAGAACGGAGAAATATATACTGTAAGATCCTTATAGGTAAGGCTGGGCCACGAATTAGCCCAACGGATTTGGCAGATCAAGCACCCAACTGCAGACCCTCCATGGACGCCCTCCTGTGGGTGGCATGGCAGTGTAATTAGGGCTGCCATTTTCAATTACTCCACCATGAATGGAGTCTGTTATTAACACCAAGCACAAGTCTGATAATCAAGAGATGGATGCGCCTCATAATTTTACAACTCATGGCAGAAAGATGAAAATGATGAAAAGAGAAGTAATGTTTTCAAACTAATGCATACATAGGGCAGAGATTACTATCAGGGTGAGGTTCTCTCTATGGAGTGACCTCTGCACGCCCACTGGAGAAATCTGAGCCACCATAAAAACAAAGGCATAAAAAGTCAGGGGAATCTGGACAGGAACAGTTTGTGCAACGTCCCCTTGGTTTGGCCATCATAAATGCAGGGTTCTCAAGCCAGCATGGTAGCTGGGGCAAAAGACGCTGCTGAGTGCGCTACCATTGACTCCATTCCTATGACAGCCCAGCTGTCTGCAGGATGGCTAAGAAACACTGCAACCTGCACCTTTTTCCCCCAGACCTAATGTGGCTTTCATTTCTAAGCTTTCAAGTCATGAGCTCCTTGGGAGTCCAGGTGCCAGGCCTGGCGAAGCACTGATGTGTGCCCGTGCCATCCAGCAGCTTCCCTGCCTGGGCTTGGTCATCTGAATCAAAGGGACTAAGACTTAGGGCAGAAAGATATTACTGAATGCTATTTGCCCCACATGTGTCAGATGGAATCTTTTAAGCGAGAACATTAGGGAAGTGGAGACAGGCCAAAGTTCATATTCCAGAAGCAAGAGGAATGCTGTTCTAAGTAGAAGTAATGACTAGGGCAGAGTCCTGCAATGGGTACGAAGCAGCTCCAGCAGAGTTCCCACTTCCGCCCCATCCGAGGACGGCGCAAGTGGGCAGAGCAAGAACGGAGGGAAGGGGACATGGCCCAGGATGCCTCTGAAGGTGTGTCGAGAATGGACCTGGTTCATTGAGAGGGTGTTTAAAACAAGAAAGACGTTTGAACGGAGTGCTAGTCTTCCTTGAAGTTGGGGATTCTGCCCCCTCATTCACTGGGGATCACTGAGCGTGCCCCAGAGCCTTGGTTCGCATCGTGCAGGATGCGCGGGTGAAGGGTGGCGCCCGGGTTCATCAGGTGGTACTAAGCAGCTCTTGCACAAATCAGATGGGCCATTTCTTAAACTCTGCTATTGTCAGGGCCATGCTTTGGCAACTCCGGGGTTCCTGAAGCCAAACCTTTCAAAGACCATTGGCATTTGGTGCCAAGAGAGAATAGAAATGTCACCTTCCTAGTATCCCAGAACCTGCTGCCAAAAGAAACTACAGGAAACCTTTATAGTCACCATTCCTCTGCTCTGGGGCATGGTTACATCTCAACTCTCCTGACATGATAATATCTTTCTTTTCCCTTTGAAAAATTCCTGTTTAATTGAGTTTCTCCTTGAGGGCAACTTGAACCA